GGAGTATTATCTAAATAACTTATTACTGAATGCGTACAGCCAGACCAATCTGGAGATGTTCGACCGGAAAGACCAGGGACAGTTGAAAAAATTTCGTCGAGACATTGAAGGCTTTGGTGCCCAGCCTAAGGCCAGCGCCCGCAAACGCGTCTACTGTATCATCCAGTCGTTTCGTAAGTAACCATAGTCACTTCAACGCCCGATTTTTCTATTGGTAAATATAATTATTTATATCTCTTTTCAGTGAGTGAAGCGCAAATCGAAGCCCAAGTGACAAAGCATACGTTAAAAGGGTGCACTTTCCAACACGTTTCATCTCCCGCTGGTGACCAAACCGAATACAGCACCCTGGTTTATGGACCAGAGGACAGAATTGCCGCATTCGCAAAAGAATTTAAATTGTAAGTGTCATACTTGTAAGCGCTTACAGATAAAACTCAAGCCATACGTCGAGGTAATTTACCTTCAAATTAAAATTTGCCTAAAAATTTCGTTGATGCTAAGTGATGCTGTTTGCCATTTAATGCACTTACAAAACATGCGTATTGCCTAACATCATTTTAATTCGACGAAGAGTGCGAGACCTTTGCAGTATAACCGCGGGCACATTGAGACTTCAAAGTAGATGGCGTCATGGCGATACCCTTTGCGAGATCGCCGTGCAACCGCGGAATGTCGTAGACAACCATTCCGGACAAAAGCTTGTTCAATAAGTTTTTGTCACACATCTACGATATCATCGTACACACAAATTCACAAATTCATTACCTTTTTCCAAGAGGTGCTGGAAGTTCGGTTTATGCAAATGCTTTGGTCCATAGGTATTCGCTAGAAAGCTGGATTACGAAAAAAATCCGGCTACTATGGATGGAGAACAAAATATAAAGAGTCGTTTTAGCAGAAGGGTTATACTTCTATTCACCCGGAGCCTTTGCCCCGGGTGGTGACGATCATTTCGTACCCGGAGATGTAAATGTACTTGTAGTTGGGCTAATTAACGAATACTTTTCCACAGTAGCAAATGCTGACTTCCTGTTCCGAGCGAAGTGTGCGGGATGCTGTCTCACTGGACAGAGCGCCCGCCTCTAATTACTCGAAGCATGCTGACCTCATAAAAAGGTAGCAAAATTTACGCCATACGCTTATTTGACCGGACGTTACGGTTGGCTTAACAACCCAACCATCTGCCGGACGTCGTAGTCATCCGGACTTTCTGGTCGGTCACACCTGTCAGTTACTCCAGTAAAACGCACGACATCGTCTGTCCGGGCGCCCGTTTCACGAAAATTTTTTCGTGGATCAAAATCTGCTGGAAACTCCAACGTGGCCTGTTCAAAAAGGCTTTCTGTGAGCTCATTAAAGGTTACCAGGCCATTACACCACAAGAGACAGTAGATCTTCATGATACACGCACAGAACTCAAGTAATTGTCCTGCTTGGAATGATCGGGCGCGTCTCGTATGTCAGCAAACCTGGCTCTTAGCCTGGTGAAACTGACAGTAACGCTGTGCATAATAAAGTAACAGTACGCTTAAAGTGCCCTGTTTGATATGTTCTTCCGACCAGATTGCCTTGACTGACTTTGTACAGACTAAAGTGGTCCCGTTTATTTTGTGCTCCGTACAAAGTTTCCGGCTTATACAACCACTTAAAACATGATAACGTGATACGAAAAGCCCATAAAATTTAAATTTTATATAAAGAAATTTAGATCGGAGACTGTTTTTCCCTGGATGTTTTCGTCGGTTACATATATTAGCGCAATTTGCAGTGACCTGGGATTCTCGGTTATCTACGTATTCCCGAGGCACGGCATATTCGTTGTTGTATCCACTGCTTTCTGAATTTTGCAGGTGCTGCGGATTGTGCCACGTTCGGTGGCGGAGGGCCGTGTGTTGAAAAATGATTGGATTGTATATTTGGACGGCGTGGAAGGCGCTACTTTGACGAGCCTGGTCGCCGATGAGATCCTTTTGATGGATAGCGACAGCATCACTATAATTTTAGCAAGACCTCGATCGGTAAGTAGCAGAAAGTATTGGATTAATGGAGCGCGACTGTAGCAGTTTCATTATACATGTACTGTATATGAGTGCTGCAAACCTGCTACAGTAAGATTAAGGTGTGTCTCAAATGTACAATAATGGCTAGTTTCGGCATGGTTGTCTGAGTGTTCTGGGATGCATTGGCACACAGCTATGATGAGCGTGGCCTTCTGGCGCGATGAAAATGCCGTATTTAAATTAACTTGACTTTCTGGCGTGCGCAGCATAACTGCTTCACTTGAAGGACCGTGCGTTTCTTATTGGTTATTTTTTATCGCAGGATGGCCACGATGATCAGGAGCCAGAACCCCAGCCCGGCCCGAGTCCACAAGCTACTCTGACGGCCACCGGAAGCGGAATGGCCACGGCTACCAGCGCGGTCCCATACAGGTGTGTATCAACGATTCTGTTGCGAATTTCTGGTTATTTGACCAGAAAGGGTAGTTCTGTAGCAGAATTTTAATCAAATCTTGCACCATTTCATAACGAAGAGTTGTTGTTCTCTTATCGGTTATTTCTTACGAGTAGCATTCGTTATCGCATAAATTTTACCAACAATTACAGAAACTCACTGGTTGGTACTCGAGGTTTGTTTGATTTATGAAAAAAATTAATGTCCAGCGCATCGGTCGAAATATCGTTTTAATTAGTGCCCCGTGCAGGCATTTTGGGATTTTGGGCTCGTGTACAGAGTATTGGCTTTTGCTTTGCTGTCATGCTTTTTTTCTTTAATTTACCCATAGTTATCGTATAATCGTATTTAATGAAACAGGCGTGCGAAAGTTTTTTGTGACGCCGAATTCTCGACCCCGGATTCGAGCATGCCGTGATCAAAATGGGTGATTGTGTTTAACTTGTCACTGGCCATTTGCAATAGTGCAGTTGTTGCTAATGCGATAGTTGGCGTCGCGAATCTGCTAAACGTTAGCGAAACACAAAAGACAACGTTGTGGATTGTCCACGAGTTGTTCACAACTCTCGCCGTTTACTGATGTGAGTGTGGGCCTCTTTGCAGTGAGCCGCTGCGTCGTCCTCGACGGCTACTACCCCGTCCCCCGTCCCCCGATGAATCCGCGTCGCTGCAGGATGTGGAGGAGGAGTTTGAGGAGGAATCTGATTAAGTACGCTGTATTGATTACCCTAGGATTACAAATATAAAAATAACGGGGTAATTATACAATGTGCGTTATTTGTATTTGTGAGATAACCGTAGCGCATAGCCGTCAGTCAGCTGTAATAATAATAAAGTGCATGATTATACCCTCAGCATCTCTCTTGATTTGATGACGTATTATCGCCATCGTGAACATGAGGTGGGCGACCAAAATTACGAGTAAAAATGAGCTGCTAACGCATAAAAGTTTAACTACAGTCTTTGCAACTACAGTTCTGCCTGGAATGATGTTTTCAATGCCTTGTTTTAATTCTTCGTTTTTTTCCAGGTTGTTTTCGCTGCTTTGTCCGTCCGATTGGTGACCGGATGACCGGAATTCTCCGTTCCTTCGGCCTTGTGCAAATTTGGTGATTCTCTTAGTTTTCCTTTGGATTCTGTGTTGTTTTTTACTCTGTTTATGGTTTATGTTCATGCAGCAACTGTTGTGCCGTACATTGGCTTCAGCGGTATACATGCACAGTAACTGTGCCTTCTTTCTCGCAGTATAAGTCTGTGCGTAGGTTTGTTTTATTTTACTAACTCTTGTTCAACAATGTTTTGCCTTCTCACTCCACTTATAGATCCGAATGGAAAGGAAGTGATAGATACGAGTAATTTGATTTCGTTGGGCAGGGTGAAGAGTGGTACACTGTTAAACAGTGACCGTTAGTACACTATTAAACTGCCGTTCATTCCCCAAGGTTTTTGCCTCTGTCTTGTACATGTACCGTAGGATTTACACTTCGTTTGCTTAATTACTGAATAGCGGCTTTACATAGTCATCGGTTGGCTGAATTCCTCACCACATGTGACCACAATCGGTGCCACGTTGAGAGCGGAATCACTGTCACAGTCGAACGAAGCAACGCAAGCGAACATTTTCTTATTAGGTAACAAGTAAAAATACAACGATTCCGTTGTGGACATGCCAGTAAGCAAGTCCGACAATTAAGAGGCAGTGCCAGTAAAGGTTGTGTGCCTAATAAAAGGTGGTGCCAAAAAGGTAGCGCACGGAGTGAAACGTTATGCAGAAGGTTGTGTACCGAATGAAGGGTTGTGTTAGGTTGTGAACCACGTGACCATCATATTTTTTTTACTACTTGTTGATCGTCAAACGAGTTTCAGCAGATACGGATTCATCTTCTTCGAGCGGCGCTGGACAGTGCGTGTCACCATTTTCGGTCGCACAAGTCGTTTCGATGCTGCAAAATCGGATATTGGGGTATTCATATACGGTGTCTAACGTTTCCTAAGGTGACTTGTTATGTACATGCCAAAGTATTAAGTAGGCAAACGACGTTCAACCGTCAACGCCGTTTGTCTTGACCCGCAAATCGAGCGCGAATACCGTAGATTTTCAATCAAAATTATTGCTTTCGCGCTAATCTTGTTGTTACTAAAACATTATGCATCTTACGCAAATCGACGGCAATTCTATTATTTCTATACACCAGAAGCACTGAGGCCTGTCTTATCTGTACGTTGCCGAAGTGAGAGCGCATAACAAAGTTGTGGAGGCATTCAGTTCAAAAGCAGCTAACCGGCAGTTTTACGGTCGGAATTATTGATCATCACTGCCACAGTGCAACTGTATCGACTATCCAGGTTAATCCGCTGCCAGTTCCTAGCGCACACCACAGTAGTCACTGTACGATACGTACTTGACTACAATCGTCCCGTAATCTCGTCCATCAGTGTATACAACGTCTATCTAATCGATAACTCCAGCGTCAACACACCTCTACGCCGATAAAACAGCAGCGTTGTTCCACGACGGCGTTCTACCGGCAAAAACACCAGCAGACACGCTCACAACACACACAGCATGTGCGCCGGTATAGATTTTCATTACTGCGGTCCGTAGCTGTAACTCAGCTGATTCCGGGGCAGCTCGCACATTCGCCACACTAGCATCCGTTTATCGGTTGCGCTTGTTTCCGATCATGCCATGACAGTGTGTAATGCTGTGTTGTTGTTTCTACTGTGTTAAGTCACTTTCTGCCCATTAATCGCCATGGCTAATAATTCTCGGCGGCTGAGTTTGCCAGCCGGAAGTCTGTTTGATACGGCGGCGTTGCGCCGAATTTCGGCGGCGTCCGCCGGCGGGGAGGGGGCGGCCGGGGCCGACGGCGATGGGGATGTGCTGTTCCCGCTGCGACAGCGCTCCTTGAAAGCGCCCAATCGAGGTAACTTCAATTTTCACCGCATCATTTCAATGCTTTTTAATCCATTAACGTTTTGAAATAAACTTTTAACTTGCGCTTTCCAGCTAATCCGTTGCATTACATAATAAAAAAAATATCATACAACATACGACTAAAAAATACTGGAAACCGGCTGGTTCCAGGTTAAAAATTTAAAAAATAAATTCAGCAGTATGCAACAGAAAGATATCCAATGCTCGTAAACTGCCATCACTCCTTTCCCACACAGAAGTCTGCGAAATTCGACTTACAGTTTCTCAACTACCGATTGCTTTCGCTATATAAAACAGTTATTGTTGAAAATTCTCTACTTTCAAAAAATTGGATACTTATGTCCGCAGTTGTTCCAAATGTTGTTCAAAATATATAGCGAAAATAATCGGTTGTTGAAAAAAGTCAATGTGTACCCAGCAGTACAACGAAGCAGCCTCATTTTTTGGTCATTCATCGAATAAGGAAAACATTAACGTGTTATCAGACTGTTGAATTTCCTATTACACTGTCCTGTAATTACTCCATTTCCTGCATTACAAAAATCTAAGAATCTGTGCGCTGCTTTGCCAGTCTTCTTCATTAACGACTCCTGCTCAGAGCAATACACCATTGAATGATTTTCCCCCAACAAACGTCCCCGTTGATTAGGTTGCCGGTGATGAAGAGAGGGGCAGTAAAAAGTGTTATTGCCACACTAACCAGGCGAAAATCGATGCGCGGCGGGTTCTGTCAACAAGACCGGCACAATATAGCCCAGGTCACATCCCGCTCGATCCTTTCAGCACGAGTGCTTATTCACGACAGGCCGCGATGAATGCCGGCTATTCTTCCGCTGCCAACCGCACAACCTGCTTTCTCTCCACTAACACAACGCCGCTGGCCGCGCGATGATCCCCTTTGGCGCGCGCGGCCACACAAAGCAGGCACGCAGATCATTAAAGAGCCGCGTTATTAATAGCGGCCTGTTTTCAACCGGGCACGTTTTAATGATCTCCAAGAAATGCGCTGCGCCGGTGTTTTTGTGCAGGAAAACAATCGTTAAAATCGATTCGCCGGCCGTTCTAAAAATAATACTTTATTTGTTCTTAAGATTTTTCAGCGTACAATATAAAAATTTAAATCTGAAAAACATTAAACCTAAAAGATAATAAATATTTAAAATAAATATACAGCAATATCTAAAAAAATAGTAAATGAATTGTTAGATAAATTACATGGTACGTGTATAGAGTTAAAATCAGTAAAATAATTCACTCGCGTTTTGAAAGAAACAAAAAAATAAAAATGCAAGAAATAAAAGTGTTTTGAAGGCTTTAACAAAAATATTTGCTGTGGTTTCTGTATGATAATTACAAGGCGTCTCGGCGTAATATTTAATTTTGAGGATGTTACGCTGTGATTCACTGTCAACCAGTTGATTGACAGATCAGCGTTGTTCGTTTTACAGCTGCGGCGCTAGCCGCCACCCGTCGGGAGGGCGACGTCGTGCCCGGCAGCAGTCCGGGCAAATCACCGCCGCACGCCGGCCGCCTCCCGCAGCTGGCCGCCGAGCACCATCTGGGCCGCATCAACATCCCCAAACCGCTCAGTCTGGACGCCGTCGGCAGCAACCAGGCCAGCGGCGCCAATGCCACGCCCAACGCCACCACGGCCATCATCTACCGCGACGCGGATGGCGAAGTCCATTCGGTAAGGCCAAGATAATTGGTTAACTGCGTTGCAAGGGGGCCCTTTCATTTCGGGAACCAATAATTTCAGAAACTATTAGGAAAACCTAAGAAAACATAAGAAAACCTTGAATACCACTGCATGTTATTGCGTAATAGCTTCGGGCAGCGTTGCGGGGCAACCTAAACTACAAGTGTTGTAAACTCTTTTCGAGCGTAGCAGCACCTGCAGTCTCCGTCTTGAAGTCAGAGGTGTATACATTTATTTACGTACAGATTAAGAAGATCCAATTTAAATTTAATTTGCTTCTCTGTTAATTGAGTTTTGATCGGAACGGATTTTGCAGTGGGGCGATTTGTCTCGCTTGGGATTATTTTGATTCGCCACGTTCGGTTTGCAGTGGCAGCAGCGATTGGTTGCAATAGTCTGATGCTGCGCTGCTGCGGCGCAGCTGTCGATCTTGATTAATTTTAACCAAGCGAGTCACCGCGTTTCCCGTATTCCGCTTTTACAGTTTTCCGTCCGAAGCATTGTAATTGCGTACGTCTTAGAAAATCCTGGACAAGGTGGTCTGCTGTGTTGCAGTTGCCTATGTCGGATAATTACGCCGAGATGGAGGCTAACAAGGAGGAACTCCGTAAGGAATTGCGCCGTCATTTGCTGTCACGGGTTAAACAGGATAATTGCAGTGGGCGATGGATTGGGCATCTTCGGGAAATTCATGGAGGCGCATACCTGCTACGACCTGATTCCCACCAGCAGCAAGCTGGTGGTCTTTGACACGCAGCTGTCAGTCAAGAAGGCCTTCTTCGCTCTGGTCTACAACGGTGCGCTCACGATTGACGTCGCTCCAGTTAACTGCAACTGACACTGATTTCCCTGTTGGATTAGGTGTGCGTGCAGCGCCCCTGTGGGACAGCTCCAAGCAGACCTTCGTCGGTAAGGGCCGTAATTCACTAATAGAATCTAAGAACCCTAAGAAATCTAAGAAGCCCAAGAAATCCAGCAACCCCAAGAACCTAAAAAACCTTAGATTAAACCTAAGAAACCCTAAGAAACCTAAGAGATCTAAGAAATCTAAGAAACCTGAGAAATGCAACGAACTGAAAATCGCTAGAAATCTGTCCTCATATCTTCTTCTGCGTCCCATTAGGAATGCTGACCGTCACCGATTTTATCTACATCCTCCACAAGTACTTCAAATCCTCCGCAGTAAGCTGCTAATAACGCACTGGCTTTCTTAAGTAACGTCTTCCTTAATAAACGGGATTTGATAGATTTCCATGGAGGAACTGGAAGAGCATCGTATTCAGACGTGGCGTGACGTGCTGAAGAAAAGCCAGAGACCGTTCATCTGCATTAACCCCGAAGCCAGGTCTGTTAACCCTCTGATTCCACATCCGAAACAGAAATTAATTGGGTTGGTGCGACAGTTTGCGGGACGCGGTGCGTGTGCTGGTAGAGAACAAGGTGCATCGTCTGCCCGTCATCGACACACTAACTGGGAACGTGCTGTATATCCTCACGCATAAACGGATCCTCAAGTTCCTCATGCTCTACGTATGTCTCCTGCACATTCAGTTAACGTCTTACGATAATAATATTCAGTTAACGATACATATTAATAACAGATATTACGTAAAGCGCATTCAATTGATTCTATGTTCAAGCATACGTATGTGAGCCAATGGAATGAATGCGAAAACTAATTTTTTTCCGAATGCAAGACCGAAAAATCGGCTTTATGCTGTGACTAAAGTCTCCGTGGATTTTCTTGTTAAAGTTATGGTTAGAATGCCCGAAATTGTTAGAATGGTTTTGTTAACGCTGGTGACCTTTGCGCAGCTGAGCCAGTGGATGCGCATCAGCATGGGCGCCGGTCCGCTGGACAGCAGCAGCTTCAACAGCGCCCTCTCGCCCAACCCCAGCCTGACCACGCCCTCCATCAGTATCAGCAGCGGCGCCAGCGAGTCCGCTTCGGACGTGACGCTGCCGTTGGTGCTGCAGCGGACGCTGGAGGATCTCAAGACGGACATTGGCACCTACAGCAACATCGAGACGGTGCGTACGTTTTTGCGGGAAATCTCTCGTATCGCTTGTACAACTCCGGGATGTGATTTCGACAGGTGTCACCGGATACGCGGATCATCGAGGCGCTGACCAAGTTTGTGGAGCGCGGTGTCTCGGCGCTGCCGGTGGTGGACGAGCACGGGAAGGTCGTCGATATCTACGCCAAGTTTGACGTTATTGTACGCTGCGCCTATTTTTCTTGTTCTGGCGCAAACGCTGTAATTTCGGTTGTGGTGTTGGTAGAATTTGGCGGCGGATAAGACGTACAATAACCTGGATATCAGTATTAAAGAAGCGCTGCAGAATCGCAACGAGGTACGTACAGATTTTTTAAACTGTCTGAAATTTTTTTTATTTTGTGTTTGACTTTTCTGTATATGCAGTGGTTCGAAGGCGTCCAAACGTGCTCATTGGCCAGTACACTGGGCGAAGTGCTCAACACCATCGTCAAAGCCGAGGTATATCAGAATAGGTCAAGCATTTAAACGGCCGCAATTTTTGTCTTCATCCACTGAATTTTGTGCTTGTGCGCACTGCGAAAACCGCTTTTCTTGTCACCGTTCTACAGCCAAATGACTTGTAGACCGATAACAGTACCACGAAAAACGTTGAGGAAGGTCGGTTCATCAATACATTGTGCCACTATAGGTGCATCGCCTGGTGGTGACCGGGAAGGACGGCAGCGTCATCGGTATCCTCTCGCTATCCGATATCCTCAACTATCTGGTCTTGCGTACACCGGCTGCAGGTTAAGCCGACTGTCTGTCAATTCAACTGAAGATATGGACGAGCAATGTATTTACCGTCGTTGTAGGTGCCGCCAGCACGCCCGCCTCCGATAACTCGCCGGCCAGTCCCCGCCCGCTAGCCTGAAGTACGCCTCCAGCGTATTCCTGTGCTGCATATTGTACATGTTGTGCGATGCGCCCAGAGTTTCACGTGCAATAACATGTTTGGTATTACGCTGGCATGTTTGTGTATACATTATGGAGGAAATGATAACAGCTGTAACTGTTGTACATCAAGTATAGAAGTATCTGTACATGAAAATAATGATAACGGCGTTCAGCCCAAAAGTATTCAGCTAACAAGTTTTAAGTACGCATTAATATTAGTACAGCACTGTGCATTGATTGTATAAGAATTATTGAACTGTACATTGTTATTACTGTACATTTGTGCGAATCCGGCTATTAAATTTTGTACGATGAACAACGTCAACATGAGAAATTATTTATATCGGCCAGCAGCGCTATAGTCCTACGTTTGCATTTGCGGTGTTGCATAGTTTTTCGCAAAGAAACGCGCGTCTTTAAAGCTTTTAAGCTGCAGCTTATTTATTTTCACGCTATCTATAAAGTAATTGAACTACGGCTACTTCCTAATGCACCAGCAAAACTAGTTTTTTATACAGTAGTAATAATAATAACGCAACTTGCAAATATAAAACGCGAGCCTCTCTTTTTCTACTGGACCGATTCAAAACACAGACTTGCAGCACAAGAAACTTTAACCCACTTCATTAATTGCTACCATGTAAGTACGTAATTGCTAACATGTAAGTACAGATACAACACAACCATGTAGCACTTAACGCCTACGTAACAGTAGTAAAACATGGGAATTCTGGTCAAATACTTATTGACAAATACGGTCAGTGGTAAGCGCATCTCGTCGTCATATTGGCTACGTGGAGCTGCGAAATTGACGAACGGGAGGTCACCTTAATCGCGGCGAGATAGTCCACCAAGCAGACATGTAGTGTCCGCCACACAAGGATAGATCAAACATTGCTGCTACCCTAACGCAGCGCGAAATCAGTCACCGCGTCGGGAGACGTCACTGTCATGCGGCCGACAGACAGGATAATGTCTCGTCATCCCATTATACTGCCCGCATACTGCATGACGTTAACGTCGTTCGTCTTCGCTGTCAGTAAGCGGCGCTCGGACCACCAACAACCTTACCGATCAAATTGTTCGCCGTAGCTGTCAACGATGGTTCATATTAAAACACGATGCTCATAAAGCACCCCCACGCGAACGTTTATTCAGCGTTTCCCACGCGAACGGTTAATCAGCGTTTCCAGGGAAGCACACGGGTGTTCAGATAGAAAACGGATGCGAGGTTACAAACTTACGATTGCCGTGGCCGTGAAACGAGGAACAGCAGATCACTCTGTGGCAAGATCGCGAAGCGCAAGTTAATGAGAACGACCCCGTACAGATTCGAACAAAAAGAGAAGCAAAACAAAAGTCAGGATTAGACACAACTTTCGCAGCTTCCGATAGTGTGCACAGTTATGCTGCGTTCATCGCAGAACCGTTACGACACAACCAACGTGTTAAACCGTTTGGACAACATTCATCCGCTTTGACATGATGAATAGTCCTGTTACTCCTCTAGTAATCTGTACATACTGCAACACGAATCAGGATCAACAACATGTTGAAAGTATGTAGTACATAGTGCAGCGCGATGCGGGGCATTCGTGCAGAGCTTGCCGACGAAGAAACGATGGTACAGATATGTTTGGATGACCATTTGCATGGAAGTACAGACATGCTCTGTTGACTGCTATTTGGGACTGATTGTAGTGGTCGTGGTGCGCAGTGGTTCGGGTATCAGACTTTCTCTTTCTCTGGCGCCTTCTTTAGCTGACTGCGTGTTAAAAAAAGTTTATCGGTGCATTCCAACAGTTTTAACGTATACAGTGGACTTCCAAAATATGCTTACACTTGTGTAACCACAAAACGCGCGCAACCAGACACTTGTCTGTACTCAGGCAGCCAAATTCCGAGCTGCCCACGAGAAAATTTAGGTGCATCGATTTTCTCCTACAATTAGATTGCACAAAGAACGTCTTGTTTGGTAGCAAAATCCTTGTGATTGTTTTGTCATTCGTTTGAGATATCGGTGGATAGTTTTCGTTGGGAAATAGGCAAGGTGCAAGCGTCTTGCGCGTTTTCTGTTTATTGGTAATTTGGGATTGATCATTTATTTCTATTGGTCCTTTGGTCGCGGACCGACTGTAACCATATTTTTGAAGTCCGCTGTTAAGTTTTCGTACAAGCCTTGTATCGTCGTATAAGTACTTCGTGCGAAAACGAAAATTCACTGACTTACCTATAAAAAACAGGGTGTCTAAAAAGTAAATTAATTAATTAAAAAAGGGTGCCTATAATTAACGGAGTGGGGAAAAGGGATAGCTATAGGGTCACCATAACAATAATAAAGCATTGTGCGGTTGATTGCAGCAAAGTTCTTGATACTAATGTAATTATGACGGGGGTTCACTTACCTTCAAAGGGAGGAAGTCATTTTTATCCAGTACAGTCTACGGAAATATTAATTACGACAGTTCCTAATTTCTCTTATTTCTATCACTTTGAGAGTCAACTACATGCGCGCAGAAAATTATGTTATTGCTCACTCAATCACACATTGGCCAATGTCCATTAAGCAGACTGTTAACGACAACGATCGAGAAATGCCGACAGGGTGTTGGGGCAAATGGCCAGCCTCAGCCCGGCAGCGGCGTCTCGTGGAAACGTCAGAACATGCACGGCCACCGGAAGAAGCGTGTTTGCCAGCGACTGCGCGATGCTTACATCTGATGCGTGGCCAGGGAGTTGAATCCTGGATCGTGGCCAGGATGATGCGTATGCGGCTACTTCCGATGCGGTTCTGTGCGTACCATTGTGCGAGAGAGCTGCGCGAGTGAGGAGGTGCCCCAAACATAGAAGTACGCGTAAAGCCGGAACGGATGTAGCCAAGAAACGAGGACGAATTCCATCGTCCCCGCATGCATATGGCTTCTGCCGAAGCGCCAATGGCGGCGGCTGGGCAGGGGATAAAAGGTGGCAGTGGCACATGCCACTGGCAACTGCCACCGGCAGTGGCAGTTGCCACTACGCGTTCTGGCAAACGATAAAACGTGGCAACTTAAAAAACTCGGAATCAGTTTGAGTCTTGTGCCTGCGCTTTCCAGTGCAACGAGAGCTGTAACGCTGTTCAGCAGACGCGACTCTCGGGGAATACTCCTAAAACCAGTGCCGCTAACGATCAAAGCGCGGTAATGCGACTGTATTGCAAAAGCGTTTCATTCGTGCATTCAGATAACAGCAGGCAATTTCGAAAACCAGTTTGATCATGGATGACACATCAACATGTCCTGAATGACTGAATTATAATCTGTCACCTCTTGACTAGCATGGCGTAAAACAAACGACTTTAACAAAGGAAGGGAAGAGGGAGGGAGGGAAGGAGAACCGTATCTGTCATGAAAACACAACGAAAATGGAGAAAAGTCGTCGTGTAGCTTTTAATTTTTCGCTTGAGTGCTGGCAATGCACGAAAACTGATACGATTGCAAAAAGCTACAGGGCCATGCAATTCCCTAAAACCTTAATGCAGAATTTATGCTTATTAAACACAAACGCTATAGTCGATTGTGCAGATTTCTATAATTAGTAAGTAAATACTGCAATAAAATTATTCGAGATCAAAGCTGCGCCGGACGCAATGCATGCCGAATTTCAGCCGTCTTCGCCCTCTATTAATGGGGCACATGGACGGTTGTCGCACATACGTGGAAAACACCACCTGAGAGAGCTCAAAGGCTTTAGTTCCGCCCCACACTAGTAGTAAGACAATGGGAAAAGGCCAGAGCGGTTGATACTGGCAGACAAAGAGGGCGCCCGCCTCAGTGAGCAAAGGGGCTTTGAAACACATTACAGAGCTCAAATTCAAAACGTCACTACCACAGCAAAAGATGTTGTCCTACAACTTGCTCAGTCTTCATGTTTGTCCAGTTTTCGGTGCCGCATTTGTTCCCATGGTCGGGCGGCTAAGTTTTAAGGTTTTAATTAGGTTTTAACGAGAAAAATGGTGTCTACTTTAAAGTTGGCAGACGTAAAGCGTATTTTAGCGACGAGGAACCGACGAGAGTTGCAGCGCTCATTCAAATGGAAGGCGCGAGCGCAAGACTCAGGCTGAGCCTCAGCTGAGGTGTCCATGATTAAGTTCTATAGTTTGCATTTGTGAAGGAAAAAAACAGAACTTATCGTTGGATGGCACAAATCTTCTCGAACTGATTCCCTAATTTTTCGAGTTGCCACTTTTTATCGCTTGCCAGAACGCGTAGTGGCAACTGCCACTGCCGGTGGCAGTTGCCAGTGGCAGGTGCCACTGCCACCTTTTATCCCCTGCCCGGCGGCTGACGTGGCGCCACCAATACGGAAACAATGCGAGGAATAGCGAGCTCGATCTTCTTCAGGTGGGAGAGAGATTTTTAGCGCGTTTGACAGGTCGTTTCTCGTCAAGTATCGGCCGCTATCGTATGCAAAGAACGGCAGATTCGGGGGTCGCTGAAGCTGGCTGCGTTCGGCGTAGGCGAGGTAAGCTGCGAAGGTGGCCGGCGCTTCAATCGGCGCAAGCGATAGCTGTATGCCCTTTCTGCGCTGGTCGGTCTTTGACTGCTTGAGTGTTATCTGCAACATGGATGTGCTCCAACGGACGTCCTCCCACAAAAGAGTCGTGGCAGGGTGGAAAGGGTGACCACTCGGGGAATTGTGCTGCACTGAATCATGCTCGTAGATGGTGTGGTTGGCGGATCGGCATGTTCCACAGTGGTGCTGGAATCGGCAGCTGGATCCTTTCGTTCATTTCCCGTTATTCCAGTTCCTGCACAGGTCTGCCGGGATGTGTCGAAAGGGCTGTTCCGCCGTAGTGTTTTTGAGACCATGTGCAGAAAACTGGAACTTCTTGGGACATGCTTGTACCGGGTGGTCTGGAGACTGGCATGCCCGACACAGTGGCAGGTAAGCTTGATTCGGTAGACGGGCGACACAGCGATCCAGCAGGTTGCGATCTAACAGGCTCCACTGGTCGGGACTGGTGTCGCCGATGCGGCTGGCGCGGAACGTTTTGTCATACTCTAACCATACGACTGGCGCGTAGATACCAGCTAAATCGGTTATAATGGCCTGGTAATTATTCAGCGGATGCTCCAACGCTGGATGGTAGTAGCTGCGTACTCGTCGAAACACCATGAATGCTTCCGTTCATTGCGTAAACGAAGTAATCGTGACCTTTCTTGGTTTAGAATCTGACAGAACATAGCTACCGTCTGTAATCTCAATTTTTGCTTCACCGTGGATTGGCGACATTATGCTGTTCGCTCTGAGCAACTTGTCTAAATC